CTTCTCCACAGCATCCAGACCAGCTCTTGACCCCACCCAGCCTCCTAGTCAAATGGTATCAAGGGCTCTTTCCCCAGAAGTAAAGCATCTGATGCATGAAGCTATACCTCCCCTCCTCCACATGTCTTCATACCAAGGTGCTTAATTAATCAAATGGATTTTATCTTCTTTTGTTGTTAGGATTTGCAGATGCTATATAATACTTGTTTAATACAGAATACATAAGGATAATAGGATAATCTTAAGTAAAAGGTTTATTTTTTGAAGAGATGATTGTAGTTTTGCTTAAGGAATGACTGTTGCCAAATGTACAGTACATGTGTGATTAAGCAGTGTTTCTCTTTCTTGCAAGCGGTGTCATTATTTGTAATATTTTGTGGCTAACAGTGAATGCTGTGCTTGTGAACAGCAATAACAGGGCAAAATAAAGTTCAGAATAACATTTAAAGTGGACTGTATTTGAGAAATTTGTCCTACTAGTCAATGAATTTTATTTTAATTTTTATGTCCCTCTCTGAAAACCTGAGGATTAAAATATATTAACTATAATTTTACACATTGTTTTGTATGTGTATGAAACTCTGAGGAATGGATACAAATTGAGGGTATCTGAGTACAAAGCACTGTGGAGGTTTCTTGGCCCTATGACAGTGAAGTACCAGAATGAAATAAATTATGTAATAAGAAGCTTCATACTTTTCAGCATGATTAAACTAAGCATAATGAGATATGTGACACATGTTGAATACAAGCACTAAAATCCTCTTGAGCAATCAGCCTCATCATGTTTTGGAAACTTACTTCCCCCCCTTCATCAGGGTAACAGACATCAACTGTGATATGATTAACAGAGAACACGTAGTGAGACTAATGTTCTTAGCTAAACCATGAGATGCCTTATCACCTGAGAAGATTTCACTGCAACTGAATTCAGTTTCTAGTCAATCATTCTGCAGATTTATATCCCCCTTGCTCTGTTTGTAAGATTCTTAATTTAGACAGATATTAATCATGAAGAGACCTACAGAGGTGGGGCATTTTCTATGGTCATTGTTCACTTTTTGTGTTTTAATACTACAAATTTCTTAAATTACATATACAAAGGATGAAAAGGTAAAGTTATCCCCGAGATTAATTAACTAAGCACTGTTTCATGATGACATATAAGGGAATAGAGGTACAGCTCTGCCATTTCTAACCTCAGCAGTAGATGGAGGTGAGTGGTCAGCTTCATACCCTTGCCCCTTTACCCAGGGAAAACAGCCCCTATACCAAGTGTATAGGAGTCTGAGTGGGCCCTGGAGTCAGTCTGGACGTTATGAAGAAGATAAGAATCCCTTGCACCTATCAGGAACTGAACCCCGACTCCTCAGTCATCCAGCCCGTAGTCCAGTGGCTATACCAACTGACCTATTCTGGCTCCTGTACAGAGGATAAAGCCCAAAGAAAATTCCATAACAATTACAATACACCACTCTCAAAAACTAGTATAAGAGTAAAACAAACTAACGATTGTGATTATATTAACCAAAAACAAATGTTTTTACAAAGATGGTTAAATTAAATAATAAGTAGGAACATTACAGTCTCATGGGATGTGACACGTTGCAGTGTGGTAGATATATAACAGTGATTAGGAGGAGCATATCACCTCCATCCCTGATGACAGGGGCAGCAGGTTCCTTTGAACTGTGACACCTACGAGTATCTATGACACTGTATGGCATCACAACCCAAATGGCCATAATATTCACATTCTCTGCCATGGGAATCTAAAATTTCACAGACTGCTTAAAAAATTGCCATACCCAAAAATTTCATAAGAATGTGAACAATTCGGACATAATCGAAGCAGAGAATTATGAATTGTAAATGGCGTTAGGTAATAATCAAAGTCTACTTTGTCCACCTAGTTTGTATTTTTATAGCTGAACTTCATAATTTTGTCAATATGTAAGATAAAATTGTGGATAATACAGGATAACAAATTGTGAGTCAGTAGACACAACATTACTGTCTTCGCCTGCTCAGACACTGGAGTCATGGATTCGAAGCCCACTCAAGGCATGGATGTCTATGTGTGTTTATTCTATGCTTGTGTTGTCCTGTGTAAGTAGCTGCCTTGTGATGGGTTGATCGCCCATCCAAGGAGTCCTACTGACTGTCCTAAGATTAAGAAAGTTAAGTGAAACATAGCGTTTCATGGATGCCCTATGCTCCAAAGTGGGAGCAACAGGGAAAAGAGAGAGAGCGAGATACACACACACACACATTAGTGACCTGTGTAAGGAAGTGTTCCTTCGTTTACATACAAGAAATTGAAGACCATAGAAAACCTCAGTCATGGTAGCCAGCATGGGGGATTGATTGATTGATTGATTGACTGACTGACTGACTGACTGACTGACTGACTAATTGATGGTGAGCCCTGCATGAGATAAGAGAGGTGACTGATAACTCTTTGCTGTTTGTTAATGGCCTATTTAAACGGACTGCGTATAGATCATAAAAATTTCATTGACTTTCTCTTCATGCAGCAAACATTACAGAAATCTCCACCTTGATACATGTCAGTTTTGTAAAATGTATTCTGTGAGATTTGAGGTCCTCATGAATTGAATGTAAAAGATTGGAGTATTGTGGAATGAGACACCCATCTACATGGCATCGCATCCCAGAACTGTAATCTTAATATTTATTCTCTTATTACAATACCTAGAAAGGATATACTTATGTGAAAGTGTTTTCTTAAAAGTCCCTTCACTAGGCTAAAGTAGATCAGATGTAGCATATTATTGGTACAAAGAAACAGACATGCAAACTCCAGTTTGAAATAAACAACAAAAATTATGCCAGTAGTTGTGTGGTACTCTAAAGTAGTAATGACTAATTTTATCAAATTGACCTCACAGAGTGGGTGGTCTTTCTCTTTGCCTAAAGACATGGCCGGCCCCCATATTATTTAAAATATGTATTCATGCAATGGACTATGTAAGGGGTTCTCAAATTTCATGATACTGCAACTGCTAAAATAATGCATAATTTATGCAACCCCTCCCGTCTCTATTGGTCAGTGAAAAGTGTAGTTCTGCACACTGTTGCAGGTCCCTATCAGGCTATACAGTGACAGCAGGAACCTAAATAGCTATACAGCCTCTCTACACTTACAGTAAGCTTCAAAATGTTCTTGCGCAGCCATAAAAAGTGCAGTTTTGCACATTGTTGCATGTCCCCATCAGGTTGTATGCTGACAACAAAACTTAAATGGTCTTACAGCCTCTCTGCACATGTACATTCAGCTATAAAATGTTCCTGTACAGTTACGAAAAAAAGTGCACATATTTTGCCAGGTTCAGTTACATTTTCTGAAAGCATTTATATTTAATCTTACTGACTTGCCAAAACTTTATTGGGAAACAACTGTGTTTTAGATAATTTTTTAGAACTTGGCAGTTCCTCTTATAGTAGGTGGCGACCCCAGAGAAACCTTGGGTTATATCAAAAGTAAGTATTCTAATGATCAAGTATTTCTGCACTGAACAGGTAAGATTTAAAATGTATTTAAGATTTTGTGAATAATGAAAGATAATACTGGTTTATAAGTTCCTAATAAAATTATAATGCATACAACACTTACAGGAACCCAGCTTTTCATAAACTGTTATACAATAAGGTAAAAATAATAACTACCTATGTAATCTGCTAATATTTACTGGCACATCAATTATATTTTGTGACTGCTGTACAGGTTTTATTTGTTACCATAATCATCATCGCATCATCTTCATCATAAACTTTGTCATATTATTTGAATTATTCGTGTATGTATTTAGTTGCCTGTTGTATATAAAGTTTATTTCTTATATATGTACATATAGTATAATAATGAAAAGTCCCCAGAAAGAGAAACACTGCCAGATGACCAGTCTGTCAGTAAACAAAACGTTTTCCCTGTTGGTTCAATAATTGAATCTTAAATCCATTAGTTATTAACCTGTTCATGTATACAAAATAATACTTAAACCAACTGTAATGAAGATAAACTTGTAATGAGATAAATGCAGAAATGTATGTAGAAGAACAGGTTTTAGATAAGAATTTAGTTGAAGAGTGCTGGCACAATGTAAACACAAGAATCTTCCAATAAAATGGTTACTGTTGTGTTTGATCTCATCATTTTAAGCAAAGCAAAGGATAATGAGTTTTATTACATTAATATCACCAAGCACTAACAAAAAGGCTCGTCATTACTGTCAAGTTATCCTTTCTGCGTTGAGGTATGTTCATGCATTCCAAACTTGAAGGCACTTGGTTCTGCCAAAAATTTGGTTAGGTTAGTGTAGTTTTCAATTTGGAGTGGTGACATAAAGGTATTGGGAAGAGTAAGATGAACATGGAGGTACTATACTGTTCACCATGAAAACATCTGCTATATATCATGTGGGATATTGAATTAATATATTTGTTCAGTTATATACTTATACATTTATTTATTTATTAAATGATGGTGTTTTATTAGAATTGGCACAGCCACTTTAAGAATGGCAGTGTAGCGAGGCAATTTATTTCTTCAGAATGAACATTATCATCAGTGCTTCAAACAAAGTCATATCTTTCTCTCTCAGTCACATTTTCAAAATATTACTAAACACCTAGCATACCTCAGAGAATCACAGATATGATAATTGGACAGTAGACCATTATAATTTGAGGCCTTGGTATTGTGATGCTTTTTGCATGGTAAATCACTGCACAAGGCTTTTCCCCATCCTACTGCTTGCATAACTGATCCACAGCATTTGCAAAAAGCTTTATGTCTATGTCTGTTGGTTTTCATACATTCCAAACACATCAAAAGATATGTTGTCTGTTTTTATCATTGATGTCACTGTATGTTGTGCTATAAAGTGGTGAAGAATAATATTCAAAATTATCCATGAACAAATACACTGAAGTGTAAATACACAAAACGCTAACTGGTTGACTTTCTCTGGTTGTAGGGTCGCCAGTGTGGAAACCAAGAGACATGGTAGGCCTAGGCGAAGCAACCACTCTTCCCCGCAAGGGCAAATCCTCCTCAACATCCTCTTGTTCCGAAACCACAACCACTAGGGACCGTGAGCGTTGTTTAGTGTACGACTTTCCTATTGTGAGAAAGACAGAAGGCTCCACCAGCACACATGAAACTTCCTCATCCTCATCAACTAGCACGCAGCAGCCATGAAGAAGTGCTCTACTTTAAATGTAGGTAACTAGGCAACAAATATTTAGGACACTACAATTAACAGATTTATGGAAAAGCCTTGAAAATTCATCATGCATTTTCTTGTTATAACAACTATTTCTTTTGAACTGTGCAGTCTGGCATTTAAAGGAGATGCAGTGTCATGTAGTTTGAAATAAGACTTGCTCTCTCCATCTTCAAGGCAAAACAGTGAAACACTCTACTACTCTGACGATGGAAACAGCAGGTTCCTCACAAACATCGGTATCTGTCTACCACAGTCAAATATGTCCCAGAAGACAACGAGCTGCATAGTCACTGCTACATGAACCTAATATGTAGCATGTTAATTCCTCCATGTTGCATACACAGTGCTCCCTGGAGCTGGTAGCCAAAAAAACTTCTTGTCCTCATCGAAGGGGCAGCTCATATCTGTGCTGTCCTCAGAATAGCCTTTAACTAAGTCTCCTTGAGTCTTCATCTTATACTTTGATTTGTAGTTTTATAATTTCATACAGGGATAGCTTAGTCGGTATAGCAACTGGCTACAGGCTGGACAGTTGAGGGGTAGGAGTTCAAGACCCAGTAGGGTTCGGAATTTTCTCTTCACATCACCCAGACCAGTTCTGGGGTCCACCCAGCCTCCTATCCAATGGGTACCAGGGCTCTTTCCCCTGTGGTAAAGCGGCCGGAGCGCGAAGCTGATCATTCACTTCCAGCTAGTGCCAAAGTCAAGAAAATATGGATCTCTACATCCACTTCCCCATACGCCTTCATGGCATAGTGCTTAATTAGTTAAGCACAGGGACAACTTTACCTTTACCCATTACCTGTCTTAACCAGTTACATCTGTGAGACCTATCTGCCTGTTTCTACATGCCGTACTCTCTTTTACTCAACAGGTAGCTCTCATTATACAAGCTTTCATTGTTCACGTTTTCGTTTACCTGTTGTTTTATTTCTGTGTCAAGAGGAGAATGACTGTGTGAACCACAGCCATGGTCAAAGCTGCTGCACATGCAGTGAGTTGTGCAGACCGTTTCTCTAACCTGCCTCGTCACTTTTACTCCACCATATCATGTTGTGGTCCTTCTTCACCGTGCTCAGTGTTTGTTCACTGTTCTTCCTGTTTTGCAGTTTTCATGAATGCAACCCCCATGTATAATGAAATTCACCTATATTACCATCATTAGATTCTCAAGCATATCAGTATTTGCTTCTTTATCTAATCATGCATGTCTACTCAAGATCATTAAAATCCTCATTCTTTTGTTTCTAACCTTCATTGTATGGTTCAGCCAGTATTTTGTATAATTTCAAGTATACATCCTGAACATTGATGAAAGTTTCTGTAAATCATACCATTAATACAACTGTTTACATCTTTATCTTCCAAATCTCTCCTGCTATTTTGGTCTATTATATTAGATTTCTCATATTTATCGTGCAGCACAATTTCAATGATATAAGTTTTGTTGCTTTTATGGTGGTGTCTGTTCAAGTTGCTGTCTTCTGGTGGATTGTTATACCATGTAATCTTGCTGGTGAGTAGCAAACTTTTTGAGGAACACGCTGCTTTCATCTTCAAATTTCAAGTCTGTAGGGAGAAAAATTGGCTCAGCTGTAAAGGCAGCTTGCAAGGAAGGTTGTCACCCAGACCCAAGGGATGGGTAAGGAAGAGAAAACAAAACCAGGCCAGTGGGAAAATTGGGTAAAAGAACGGCCCTTTTAAGCAGCATAGTGATTTTTTTATTAAGGCTTGAAATGGAATAGTGAATAAAAATGGCTCTTTCTGTGATGCAATATTGTTTTCAAGAAGAAATATGGATTGCAAGAAAAGGTACCTAAAAACTGTAAGTGCCCTTGAAGCAACCTTGGCTCAGTCAAACTACTACAGAGTGAACATATCGCGCAATGAAGGAATTGTAACAACCTTTTCCTATCAGAAAAATGGGCTAATAATACATTGGCAACTGACAATTTAACATGCAAACTGGTCATTTAAAATTCTGGCAACACAGCCCTGTTGAAAGCCATATTAGTTTTATTTTGACATGAGCTGAGTTTATGCTGTGTCATACTGAAGAGCCTGAACTGCAGCACAGTGGCTTGTAATCAATCAGCAGGATTATCGCTCGTTGAATTTCTGTCTCAATTGCAGGAAACAGTAAGCATGCCAAGTGCCAAGGTGTATCCAGAATGGTTATGAATGTGTGAGTTCAAGAATGAGCACCTCCCCACATGATGCAGTGTGTTTAGTGAAAATAAGTGGATAAAGAGCATACAACAAAATTAATTTTGGTTTCATTATTACAGTAATGATACAAATTCAGGAGTTTCTGTTTTTAAGATTGTAGTGCCTAAGATTGATCTCAAATGGAACAGAAGATATGTAAGTGTATGTTGATTTGTGGCACCTGATTTCCCTGTGAACTGAATGAAGTTCAGGTAACCATTTGTTTTAAAGAACTGCTCAATTAGTAGACCATTCTAGCATGCTATCAGACTGCAAGCATCAGAGCAAATTACCAGAAGAGCGTCTTCCTCAATACTGTTAAGGTAAATAAATGTAGAGCTATATCCCTGTAACAGGCTGTGGAGGCCCTAAAGGTTGTGAGATGTCAAGGCTTCCACATTTTCTAGACAATCGGCTCACAGATGGTGGTGAGGTTAACAGCCTTACACTCCAGCCGCCTTTTACCCCCCTCCCCCCGAAGATTCCTGGTACTAATTTCTGTTAGAGGTTGAGTAGACCCGACGGCCATAATGTGACTGGAAGGATTAGGTCAACTTAAAAAATCCGATGACCTCAATGGGAATCAAGCCCGTGACCTTCCATTTAATTAAAGGTATATTTCAGATCAATACTGGGCATTATCTAATTGTAATCACTTAATTCTTTTGATTCTGCAATTCATTTTTACCATAATTTCATTAAGCACGAAAGGTGTATTTGTGATGTCGAAGGCAAGAGGGTTGGTTAGAAGGAAAGTTTAATACAACTGAGTATATCATGCAGGGATGTATTCGTCATGCCTCACTCTGTCAGCAGGGGCAATGAGGCGCCTTATTTAAAACAAAACATCTCATAATGCAGTAACACTGAAAATAACATGCAAACTTATATAATTTGCTAAGAAGAAATATTTCATTTCAAACTTCCCTTTTCCTTTCCTAAAAGGAAACACATTTATTTAACAACAAAGTTGTATGTGTAGGAATATAAGTGCACAAGAAGTGCTGTGTGTGTGTGTGTGTGTGTGAGAGAGAGAGATGCTTGATATCTTCACAGAAAACAAACCGTATGTAAGTTAGGCACAGACTACAGCTGTCTGTAAAACTTGCATTCTGATCAGCCCTCAGATATATCTTGGAAGAGGCAAGTTAGCTACACACTAAATGAAAGAGTACTGTCCAAAATGGAAATATGTTGCTTACAGAACAGTATGTTCAAAAGGCGATACATTATTCAAATTACAAGTTATGTATTGTTAATGTTGTTAAAGTCCTGAGTAATTGTGATAAGTTGAAACTGCTGTTTAAGAAATGTCTGTCTCATATAAACATCACTGGTTGATGGATAAGAAGATATCTTTGTTAATTATTAAAAGTTGGGGACGATGATATTATGAAAATGGAAATGGCAATATGAAAGATTGTGCAGTTACGACCTACAAGTCTGTGTGAAGTGGTTAAAATAGCTCAAACGTGGAATGTATTTTTGTGGTTTAGTAATATAAAATACATTACATCAGCTTTACTAAAGTATATCAAATGTTAAAATCCCATTACCACATGTTACCTTCGATACTCCCATTCATCATTTGTACATATATATCATATACTATCTGTCATAGTAACATCATGTCATGTGTGAGTGGTAAGGTTCTAATAGTATATTTAAAATTATTGAATGAGCTTCAAACTGAGGAATCTTGTTCCTCTAGTAGTTGCAGAAATTACTGACATAGTACTCTTACCCTTAAGATATTTTGTCAATTTGTAACTCAATTACAACACCATGCATTAATACCATCATCACAAAAACTCATGCATCAAATCAAATATAAACTTGGTTTCATTTTCTGTCAATGCAACTGAAGAAACTTTTTTCCTAGGTAACTCTAAAATCTCGACATAACACTACGCTATACTGAAGAGTTGCCATCATAATTCTTCTGCCAATGAATGCACTCTTGTTCAATAACAGCCACATATACAATCTTGATTCTATTATATTCAGAGTTTTCCTTAATGTTCAGGTTTTTTTTAACACAAAATGAGCTCATCGTCTTCGCTCTAATATACTAAGTAATGAAGTTTCCAGTGTTCACTGACTGTGAAAGCTCTGCTCAGATAATTCATATTAACATAACTGTTTGCATATCAGCTGTTGAAGTAACCTGTATTGAGTAATTAATGATTTAGAATGTGAATTCTTAATCTGTACTATGTTAGTGTGTCAGCATAGTTTTCCTGTCAATACCCACTTCACATTACATGCAATCTCTCATGTCAGTCTAATGATACATTGCAATGCTTCTTATCTATATTAATTATTAGTATATGGGCAATAATATTTCAAACTGAATTTGTAGGAAAGGGACTTCAATACAATAAGAATAACACCATTTGGTTTTATGTAAAGAAGATAAAGAAAATGATGTCTTCATTGGAGACCCTGGATTTGAGCAAGTTCTTGTGTAAGAAGTTGAGTTTTCCTATAGTACAGATTTTTGTGAGTATATATTAACAAAGTGACAATGTCATATTTGTGATCCATGAACATATTTAAATATCATTTACTTAGTCATCATGTTTGTCACCTTCAAGAAACTATAAATGTCTGAAATGCCCAGTTTTATCATAAGAAATAGAAAAATGTAATCAGGTTGAGTACGGACAGGGTATTGAGAAATCTTGCTCAGATTCAGCATATGGCTTGAAAATATTGCCTTGTTTTGTCACAATGTATATAATTAAGGTTATATGTAAGATATAATTTCTATTAAGTATGTACACGGGTACAGATATACATACTTTGAAGCAGAAGATCTGATATCAGATAGATAACATAATTTAATATATGACTTGAGCTTTAGGGAATATGCCATGCAGAGTGTTGGTTTTCAGATTTTTTGGGAAACAATGCAGTTGTCCATCTTCAGGATCAATATCTGCATGAGGGTTGTCAATGTTGTTATATAGATCTTGCAGTGGACAATAAGTCACAGGTGAAATGAATGGACAAAAGAGAGGAGTGGGGTTCTACCCAACTGGGGGATCCTCTGTTTCATCCAATTCTGATTTCACCTCCAACTCACTACCCACTGCAAGATCTAGACAGGACATTAACCCTGGAGTTAGCAATAGCAATGTTTGCTGAAATGTAGAGAAACCTCCGCCATTCTACATGGGGTATTCCTAAAAGCCAAAGTCATATAACAAACTTCAGGACAAGAAATACTGTGCATTGTCTACAACAAATGTATATGTTACATGAAATACACTAAAAAAACGTATTTCATATAGGGCATTTTCATAATGGATTGCTTATCTTTAAGCCTAAGTGATAGGTAGGGATGAAAATTTTACCAGTTATTTCATGATTATAACTGGTGTCTTGTCTGAAACTCTTAATGTTTATCATATCTAAGTAGCTGAGTTAATTGTAATATGCACAAGATGTTGCATTATTTAATCTATCTTATAAAAATGAAGCTTAAAGATTTCTGAACACAGTTCAAATATTTTCCTTTGCCTAATCAGCAAATACTCACATCAGTGATGCATGCATACAAGTAAGCTATGAATAATAGTATAAATAAACTGATTTTACTTTATAAATTTTGTCACCATGGAAGCCAGGCTAGCTCAGCGGTAATGTTACTAGGTTACAGACTAGATGACTAGGTAATCGGGGTTCAATTCCCAGAAGGAACAAAAGATTTTTCTTTTCTCCAGTGTCCAGACTGGCTCTGGAGCCCAAGATGCCTCCTGTCCAGTGCATACTGGGGGAATTTTCCTAGGGCAATGCAGCCAGGGTGTGAAGCTGACCACTAGCCTCTAGTACTAAGGTTAAGAATATATGGGTTATTCAACAATTATCCTACGATTTGACACCATATAGCTTAGATATTAACAACACTACAGGACAACCCACAATTCCATACTGTCTGAATTACGAGGTTGTGGTTTTTGCCACAGCATTAAGTGTTCATGTGATGTATACATTTGCACTTACAACTGGAAAACAATTATGAATTATGTTTGCTCTGGTGTTCTGTTTTCTTTCTTATGATATAGAATATTTGCATCATGCAAGTACAGAATACTGCATATATATATATGAAAACTCTACAAACTAGAGCGAAGATAATAGGCTGGATTTAGATGTAACTTTCATCATACTGTAGGGGGCACTGTGGTGTATTGTCACATGTGAACGTTTCTGTACTTTTAAATTGAATAGATTTCCTAAACTCCATACATGTAGTCAATTGCAAAGCATGTTCATGTCATTCCATTAGCTGAAAAAGTGGTTTCCTTAGTAACTTATAAAGTTTTAGAATCAGAATCATTATATTAAATTAATCCTCATTATCATAATCATTATAATTACACCTTAAGGAAGTTACTTTGCCTAAAATATATCAGGGAACTTTATTCAAGCCATCAGTGATACCCATGCCATAGCTCTGACAGTTAGTCGTGGGCTTCTCATGGCAGCCCAGGTCAGTTCATGTCTGATTTGCAGTAGACAAAGTGGCAATGCAGTAGGTTTTCTCAGAACACATCAGTTTCCCCTGCCAATTCTCATTCCATTAAATGCTCTGTTTCCATCATCCATGGCTGATAAATGGGTCATTCATGGCTAGACTATTAGAGGACTCAGTCTCACCCCTCCTAAGAATAAAAAACCCTAATGCTATCAGACCAGTTCATTTATATGCCCTTCACACATTACATTTCAGTGTGTTAGGCATGGAAAGGGACATTTTATTTTATTCTGCTACCGTTACTAGTAATGGAGCTGGGCAATAGTAAGATGCCAAAAAACAATCATCCACTTCTTTCTGGTGACCAAAATGTTTGGATACCATTTTTTCAAGTTTCCCATCCCTAGCTACTACTATTACTCTTGCTAATACCATCACCAGCATCAATTGCACATTGTTAATTTTCATTAAGACTTACGTTTTTAAATTGAAAATACTGACAGTTAAACAAATGTAAGCTACAACATTTCACTATTAAAATTAATTGTTGGCATTCATTCAAGCTGGTAATTCTGAATTTCCATTTTCTGACAATGTAAGACAAATACAATCTGCTCTCCATAGGGACATATGATTATGCCTCAAATCCAGACATATTTTGGAGAGAAATTTTACATATTTTACTGTCCATGATACTGTTGTCTACTACTCAGAATATTAAAAGGTGACTGATCACACAAATATGTAACAAAGACAGATGTGGAGTTCCTGTATTTTTAAATAGTGTGAGCAGTTGACAAATAAATTATATGGAACTAGACTCTTAATGGCCTAAACTGACAGAAAATTTACTTGAATTACTCATTTTTACACACTTACACTTCCTCCATTACTATATGTGTTAACATTTATCTCTCTGCATGCAATTTAAATT